CGAGGCCCGCGACCTAAGATCACGCTGAAGCCTGATCATCAGAAGTCTGCCTAGCAAAGTCAAGAAAACGACGGTGCTCTCCCGCTGCGGCCGGACCGCCGTCAAAGCTTCGCCCTCTGCCAGTCCCCGTTATTTCGCCGACTGCTGTAGTGTTGACCGCCACAAACAAGCCGGAGTCCCAGCCCGCTTGCGAGCGACAAAAAGCCGTTTTTACGGCTACCCAGAGAATTCTCAAAAAGAGAAAATTTGCCAGTTGTGTAGAAAATGTGCCCACAATCATGTGCTCACCCATACACACAAGCATAACATATCCCGTGTCTCTATCAGAGCCCCATCACATGAAACGGGCACAGCCCGCTCTAATATCAGAGAACATAAACACGCCCACGAGCTCGTGCGCGTGTCCCCTCTCTGCTCGCTCTGTTTCACGGCCCATAGACTCCTCTCTGAGTGCAAATCCCGTTGCCACACACATTCAAAGCGCTCACACACTGTGTCCAGCCCGCTATGTGCAGCAATCAGGGCGATATAGCCATTCGGCCACTAGCCGCATGCTCCAAAGCGTGGGAAGCCATTCCAGGCATTTCCCCGTGGGTACTAAGCATTATAAAGAACGGCTATCTGCTACAGTTTCGCCGCCGCCCGCCTCGTGCGCGCGCGCGGCTCGAATCTACTGTCAGCCCACTGGCCGCCGGCACGCTCCGCTCAGAAATTGCGACGCTGTTGCAAAAGGGCGCCATAGAGAGAGTCCCACCATCTATGACCGAGTCGGGGTTTTACGGCCGTTATTTTCTGGTTCCCAAGAAAGACGGCGGCCTCAGACCGATTTTAGATCTCAGGTCTTTGAACAAAGTGCTCATGAAGAGACCGTTCAAGATGCTCACTACCAGGAAACTCGCGCAGGTGCGCCAGGGGGACTGGTTCATCTCTCTAGACCTGAAAGACGCCTATTTTCAGATCCAGATAAATCCCCGTCACAGGCCATTCTTACGTTTCGCCTTCGAGGGTCATGTTTATCAATACGCCGTTCTCCCGTTCGGCTTATCCCTGGCGCCCCGCACATTTACGAAGTGCATGGATACGGCGCTCGCCCCCCTGCGGAGCCAGGGGCTGCGCATATTGAATTATCTGGACGACTGGCTGATTTTGGCCCAATCACAGACGGAGCTTCTGTCGCACCGCGCAGTTCTCCTCGACCATCTGAAAACGCTGGGCCTCTCTGTCAACTGGACAAAGAGCTCCCTTCAACCCAGTCAATCGATTTCCTTTCTAGGAATAGATTTGAACTCGGTCACGATGACGGCTCGCCTGTCTACACAGCGCGCGCGCAGTGTACAGCGACTGGCCGCCTCGTTTCAGATGGGCACCCGCTCACCTCTGAAAAATTTTCAGAGGATGCTGGGTTACATGGCCTCAGCCTCCGCTGTGCTTCAGCTGGGCCTTCTGCACATGCGTCCGCTTCAGCTTTGGTTAAACAGCCGTGTACCCCACCGCGCGTGGAACACGGGCCGCCAGCTGATCAGAGTTACGCAGACATGTCTCACGGCGCTGCAGCCATGGACAGTAGCAGAATGGTTTCGACAGGGCGTCACGATGGGGACCTTTTCCCGCCGAAAAGTCATCTCGACAGATGCATCCAACACGGGTTGGGGTGCAGTCTGCGAGGGCTCACCGGCCTTCGGCCATTGGTCGACACAGGAAAGCCCCTTACACATAAACTGTCTGGAAATGCTTGCGGTCGAGAACGCGCTTTCGCGCTTCCTCCCGCTCATTCGGGGACACCACGTCCTGATCCGTTCGGACAACATGGCTGTGGTCTCCTATCTCAACCGTCAGGGCGGTGTCAGGTCCAGGAATCTCTTCCTACTGACACACCGCATTTTAGTTTGGTCTCAGAGCCGCCTGCTCTCGCTCAGAGCGACGCATGTGCCGGGCCATCTGAACGACGGTCCAGACATACTGTCCAGGAACCTCATCTCCTCAGGAGAATGGTCCCTGAACACACAAACGGTCCAAATACTGTGGCGGCTATTCGGCAGAGCAGAGGTGGACCTCTTCGCGTCAGAAGAGAACGCTCACTGCCCAATATTTTTCTTAAGGAGCGAGGACGCGCTAGCCCAGGAATGGCCTCGCCGCCCGCTCTATGCATTCCCTCCGATCGCTCTGCTAACCACAGGTAATTCAGAGGATCAGGGACACACGCCACTCGGTGCTCCTCATAGCCCCGCGTTGGGAGAGTCAGAATTGGGTTCCGGAGCTCACTCAGCTGTCGCAGACAGCCCCGTGGCCCATCCCAGTCAGAGCAGATCTCCTCTCTCATACTCGCGGCACGATCTGGCACCCCCATCCACGGCGCTGGGCGCTACATGCATGGGTGATCAACGACTATTCGTCGATTTGCCAGAAGGAGTAAGAAACACTATCATACAGGCTAGAGCACCTTCCACGAGAAGGCTCTATGCGTCTAAATGGTCTGTGTTCTCAAAATGGTGCACCGACAAACATCTGGACCCACGGTCATGCGAGGTGCCGTCTTTGCTGGTTTTCCTTCAAGAGATGCTGGACAAGGGCAGGTCCCCCTCCACTCTCAAGGTTTATGTGGCAGCCGTCGCGGCGTTCTCTGAACCCCGACGCGCTCAGTCCCTGGGCAAAGACGAGTTAGTCATCCGCTTCCTCAGGGGAGCTAAGAGGATGAACCCTCCGCGCCCCGCTTCGGTTCCTATCTGGGATCTTTCTATAGTTCTCGAAGCTATGAAAGCACCCCCGTTCGAACCGCTCGAGTCTGTGGACCTAAAATACCTCTCGCTCAAAACCGTTTTTCTGACGGCTCTGTCCTCAGTAAAACGCGTGGGGGATCTTCACGCGCTCTCATCCAGCGCCGCGTGTCTCGAGTTTGGCCCGAATGATTCTGTTGTCATTCTCAAACCTAGACATGGCTATGTCCCGAAGGCGATTGGTACCCCGTTCAGGGCTCAGATTATTTCCCTATCGGCTCTGCCTTCATCCGATAGTGAGCGCGACGCCAATCTCCTCTGCCCGGTGCGGGCTCTGAGATTGTACACTACGCGCGATGCCGCGTTCAGACGCGCTGAGCAGCTTTTCGTGTCGTTTGGGGGGCGCACCAAGGTCTGGCCGCCTCTAAACAGACACTGTCTAGATGGATAGTAGACGCTATCGCCTCTGCTTACGCATCTAAATGCCTGCCCTGCCCTCTGGGCATCAGGGCGCACTCCACTAGAGGCATGGCCTCATCGTGGGCATGGTCCTGTGGAATTTCCATTCATGACATTTGTGTGGCCGCGGGATGGGCCTCCCCGTCCACTTTTGTCAGATTTTACAACTTGGAAGTTCCCGCCTTGCAGGCAAAATTACTAGCTGTCTAACGACCAGCTCCCTAAGAAGCTGCATTACTGGGAGTCCCTCACACAACCGGTTCGCCCCTTGTGCTCTCCTTAAATGCTTATACACTTCATGTGCCCGCTCTGCCGGCCTCATACATGCTTATGTATACACTTCATGTGCCCGCTCTGCCGGCCTCATATTACATTCACTCCACGTTAAAAATCCCCCGGTATCACCCTGGGATTCATGAGTGGATTCATAGCGCGCACGGCGTTGACCAGGTGTTCCCGCAGCGTAAGCTAGCTTACGCAATACGAGAGAACCTCTCGTAAGAGAACGAATCGGTTACCTAACGTAACCTCGGTTCTCTCTAGAAGAGGGAACGAGTATTGCGTTCCCGGCCGTGCTTGCGCTACTAGCGTTTCGCTTCACGCTGAAATAAATCAACATATAAGCCTGGGAGAGACTGTTATATACACCATAGCCACGCCCATTCTGGCGGGCTATGACGCAATGAGCGCGCGGGCGCCTCTCATTGGAAGCGGGTTCAGCCCCGCTCTCCCATAGGCTTAAGCAGTTCTCTCTGAGCGAACCAATGAGGTGCTAGCTAGCCTGCTCTAGGTCTGCCGCAGAGGAACTGCGTTGTGTATGGATACAAATTATGAAATAATTTTTTGGCTTCAATATCTCAGCAAAGATGAATCTTTCCCGCAGCGTAAGCTAGCTTACGCAAAACTCGTTCCCTCTTCTAGAGAGAACCGAGGTTACGTTAGGTAACCGATTCGTTTTATATCACACTTTGTCAGTCGGGATTTTCAACAGTGACTGCAACGAAAACAAAAAGCAGGAATAGGCTGACAACAGTTTGTGCGACACTACGAGTCACACTTTTCCAAATTCCACCCAGTCTGGATATGATCAGAGCGGCAGTCTCAAGGCTATCACATTAACGTGAGTAAAAAAATCAGTTTGCCTCATAGTCTGCCTAATTATTGAAAATGTTTGTGTGTTTTCGTGATTATCATTAATTATAATAAGCATATAGGCCTGCGTTGTAGCCTATAGATCTAAAGAGGCATTTCAGTTATTCTTGATTTATTTAGTGGGTCATATGACTGGCATACAAAAGAAAAGTGGGTCGCAGTAGGCAAAAGGTTGAGAAACCCTGACGTAGACTACACCACTGCTTCCACATATGGGGGTGAACAACTGTTCAACAACAGAGTGAGTAAATGCTGACAGAATTTTCATTTTTGGATGAACTATCACTTATGCTCCTATGAAAACTAGAAGTGTGTGCAAAATCTAGTGAACAATGTTTTATGTATATGTTTTATGTTTAGGCTTTGTATTGCATGTCACAGTTTATCTTACACAATCCACAAATCCTACAGTTTGAGGTGAGTGCAGCAAATATATTAAATGACTACAGACAGGTACAACCAGAACAACCTGGTCTAAGTCCTCCACGCAGCCAAAAGAATAAAAGGCCCGATTATGTTCCTGAAATAACCCATTTCAGTCCAGCTCTCACTTCACAGGGGAACAGGTGAGATATCATTGTAAATGTGTCTTACTGTCCTCTTTAAAGACATTTGAGATTGAATCAATGACTTAAAAAACACCATAACTGTTTATAAGTGCAACCTTGTATTTTTTTTAGCTTGTTATAGGTACAAAGGTTTTAAAGGATGGCATTCTTTAAAAAATTTCTCCAGAAAATTAGTAATGATGACAGTAGCAAGGTACGTTCAGAATATATACATAATCAATGTTTTGTATGCCAACACACATTTAAATACACCTCAACTTCATTACTTATATGAATAATTAGTCCATGACCTGATATTTTAACACTTGCTATATGTTTTATCACAGGGTTCTAAAGGAGCTCCTTCGGAGACAGCATACTTTGGAACAGTCAAGGGTGATCCAAACTTTAATGCCGAAAATGATGCAGCAAAATTGAAGAAAGCCATTGAGACCAAAGGTAAATGCACTCAAAGTTGGAAAAAAAGGCTCCAATGTACTATAGTAATGTGAAGAAATTTTCGGAAGGAAGTTTACTTAAAGGTTTGATTTTTTATGAATTTTGAATTACACATTGCATTGTGTTTTAGGGATAAATGTCCTTAAACTTAATGGATAATGTACTGGCATAAAAATACATGTGCCTTTTCTGTTTTACTACAGATTGTTTTTGTTATTGATTTTTTACAGTGTATATCACAATATTAAACTTTGTTCATTTTCAGCTAGATATATGTTATGTGTGTGTATTCAAGTTTTATATTGTTTATTTTAGAAAAGGTGTGGAGGACACACCCCGGCTATACCTGAAAATCTTTCTTGGAATGTATTCATAGAAATAAATAGTTGAAAAGCAAAGAGCTGGCTACGTGACACTAATTTATGTGCACTGGGACAAAACAGGCTGCATGACAAAAATAAATGTTTATGTACCAAGGAATTTTCAAAAAATATGTTTTTCTATCATTTTTTTTATGTTTTCATAGTGTATCAGATACAAAAATAACCTGTAAAGTGAAATATCACTGATATTATAAGAATTTTTTTGCATTCAACTCAAAATCAAGTTAAATTACACATTTGTTATAAAAACATTTAGTGACAATGTCCGATTAATTTAATGTTTCTATATAAAAAAAGAAAAAGAAAACGGCAAATAATCAGCACCAAATTAAATATCTAGTTCAGTCATGAAACTCTAGATGGCACTGGCTGCTAACAATCACATCAACTAGCACAGCCTATGTTAATTCTGCAGCCAAATGAGCTTGTCTGCACAACATTTAAATAGTCTGTACAGTTTTTGCTGTAAGCTGGTCCTGCAACATGCTATCAGAGTTCTTATGAAACCATCCACTTCCCCCAGTTCCACCTGTATAGATCTGCTACGGGATTTATGCATGCCTATAGAGTGGTGCAGGGATGCACAGAATAGCACTTGGGAGCACTTCGACTCGGTGCAGTAATATCATCATATCATCAATGAGAGGGAGAGGATTTTTCAGGAGTGCTGATATTACTGCGCCGAGTCGAAGTGCTCCCTGTGGAACTTGCTGTGGTATTCCGCCATACATTATAGCTATCCATTTTACACGCTTAGAAAAGCGCCACGTTTTATTTTGTGTCACCATACTTGGTCGAGTTACACACGTGTAACTGTATTTAAATAGGGAAAACGTGGAGGTCTTTGGTCACTTCTCTGTTTGGATCCTAATGAATGGACCGGGCTAAGCTAAGTGCTAACAAAGTTTCGCCGCAAGACAGAGCGATTTAGTGCACGCACTGAGACGAGAGAGGTATGTATCAACTTGTCTTAGTTAAGGGAATAACATAGTTTAATTTGAAAAACGGTGGAGTATCCCTTTAATGTATTTGGTCTTGGTGGAATAGATCTGCTACGCTGCTGAATTGCTGATGCTGTTGATTATTGCTGTTGTTTCTGCAGAGCAAGTACTGTAGACATACTGCTGCTGCTCAAATAGCATATATCAATTACCTATAGCAGATCTATACAGGTGGAGCTGGGGGAGGTGGAGGTTTTTAGACGAACTCTAAAAAAGCGAAGTAGTAACATTGTAAATATCATCAGCTTGCGTTAATGACCCATCAGCCTGCGCCATCTAGAGTTTCATGACAGAACTAGGCGTACAGGTGAAACTCGAAAAATTAGAATATCGTGCAAAAGTTAAAGTCCCTGTAAAGGCAATTTTTAAAAAAATCTAAACATTATAAATGTTAGAAGTGTATTGCTAAAACATATTACAAAGACTGTGAACTGTGAAGTACTGAATAGTGGAGTTAGACCGTTAAACAGTTTTTCACCATTGATATTTTACGGATTTTTTTGGGCGGGGCTAAAACGGGGCTCGATGACGCACTGGAGCCCCTGAGCTCCTGGACACGCCCCTACTTGTTGACGCACTGGAGCCACTGAGGCTGTCCGCTCCCCTAACAATAAATGATCACTGTAAACAGGGACGTGCACAGGAATTTTGTGGGGCAGTTGCTCTGACCTGAAAAAAGGGCACTACCCCCAAAACTCACGGGCTATATGAAGGAATATATTCAGTTGAATTTTGCCCATACAAATTGCCTTATCTGATCGTGTTTATTTCCAAACGCAATGCCTCATATTATGGTCTTATTATTATTTATAAAGATTGCAAACGTCAAAGATGACAGGTTTATGATATACAACTTTGTAAACAGTATACAAAATGTATTAACAATATGTTAAATGTCACCAAAATACACATGAGAAAAAGAGCTCCTCATATTATTGTTTATTGTTTTTTAATTATTATTATTATTATTTATTTATTTTTAAATAAATAATCTGGATTGAATTGACAGATGGGGAAAAACTCGCTTCTAATAAAATAAAATAAAACGCTTAGATTTCGGAAAAAATACAATCCTTTTTTAACCTTTTGGCTTCCCGTACATTCAATAATGCTTTTTGCTCATCTGGGCAACTACGCATGATTTGTAGTATGATTGCGTAAAGGGAACAGGAATTCCGGTAAGGAACAGAATCGACTGCTACACCCAGTGCCGATCCTGACCCCCCTGGGGCCCTAAGCAAAATTCTGCTAAGGGGCACTCTGATGTCGTGAGCTATGTAAACCATTTGCCATTGCCACAGTCACACCTGACACTTCAGCACTCCCATCCTCCCCCCTTTAAACAAAACAGTCAAATAATAAGTACAACAATATAGAACAGAATGAGGTTCAAACACACAATATTTATTGAATAGAGTATTTTCTATAGTATGTTAAGATAATAAGTGAATATTATTAAGTAAGTGAATATTAACGTAAACATAAATAAGAAGAAAATAATAAATAATAACCCTGAGCTTTGGCTTTTGGGATTAACTTTGGTTCTTTCTACAGCCTGGGCATTTTCGGCATCAGTATGATTTTTTTATTTTTTATTTTTATTATGCATGTTGAAGCAATTCTTGATTTATGGTTATTATTTACTGAGGGATGTGCATCCATTTTGACCAGTATGTCCAGCTAATCAACATTTTTAATTCAATATAGCCTATAAATCAATAGTCAATCAATGTCAAATTGTCAATACATTGCTTTCTATCTTGCATAATTAGTGCAGTTGTTTAGAGTTTGTAACTACACTGAGACTTGATAATCAGTGTCTTGTTTTAAAATTATAATGTGTACTTTGATTGGGAGTGGCATCATTCACGTGCATTTATAGTACAGTATGTCTGGTCTCCACATATTTCTGCTTGAAAAATGCGAGTTTCATTTCGGCAACGCGCATATGAACGCATGATAACACACGCGACGCGGTTATGTTTTCCGAGCTGCAGTAAAAAACAACGTTGCACTTTGTCGTTTATCAAAATCAAACGTAATAAATAATTGTATTTTACTCTCACTTTTGTCAGCCACAAAGTGATGCAAGAGATGCACTGCCTGCCCAGCTAGGTTAGCAAGACCGAAAAACATCAAACTTTGCTGACATCAAACTTAGAGAGGAGAGAACACAAGTTTACCTGATTGTTGTTCCCGCAATTCACTCTCATGGTTTTTTTCTTCTTCCTCTTTTCGTGACCAGAAGGATAGTTTCGCTTCATTTTGTCGTAGATGTTGTAGCTACACATTTGACGGCGCGCTATGACTATGACACGAGATGGAGGCGTGGCCTTAAGTAATTTGCGTGGCCCTACGCCGGTCGCGTGCAGTCTATGGTCGCGTGCAGCGTTTGCCCTTCATACTGACTTTCACTTTCGGTGCCCGAATGGAAGTGAATGAGGCTTTGCGATTTTTTCTTTTTTTTTAATCTAGGCCTACGTGAAATTCTGCATCCATTGTACGATTTAATTTTTTTCTCGGAAGGGCAACTTGAGTGAGAAGGGCATATGGGCAGTTGCCCGGGCAACCTGAGCAACCCCCCTGTGCACGTCCCTGACTGTAAGTGATCATTTTACACGGGATAGTTTTATAAACTTTCGTCGGAGACAACTGAGACATTCACTGATAATCCGTTGTTACCGGTGAATGGGGCCGAACCGACTATCTTCCACCTCGGCATTCATCCTCCCGTCGCGCCGACAACTGGTGCCATCATCGGCAGCTTTCCCGCGAGTGGGCGTGGTTTCAGCGCAGCCAGCGGACACGCCCCCAGCATTTGAGAGCAGAGACTACTGCTCATTTTTTCAAGATTTTGATAGCTTATTTTATGTACTTGCTGGCTTTTTTTATCATTCAAATTTGGCAGGGTGGCTAATAACACATTTTTCTGTGGTGTGACAAACTCAGAACACATACAAAATTTTGACTTTACAGGGACTTTAATTTATTTCAGTAATTCAACTTAAAAAGTTAAACTAATATTATATAGACTCATTACATGCAAAGTGAGATATTTCAAGCCTTTATTTCTTATAATTTTGATGATTATGGCTTACAGCTTATGAAAACCCCAAATTCAAACTTAGAATATTGTAAAAAGGTTTTCATAGCTGTAAGCCATAATCATCAAAATTATAACAAATAAAGGCTTGACATATCTCACTTTGCATGTAATGAGTCTATATAATATATTAGTTTCACTTTTTAAGTTGAATTACTGGAATAAATTAACTTTTGCACGATATTCGATTTCACCTGTATATTCAAATATAACATCAGCATTAATATTTCAACTATAGGCCAAACTCTTGACTCTTACAATAAAAGCTTCAAAAGCCAAAAAAGCTTTCAAAAGTTTTCGGTATGGGTGTGTAATTTAAGTTCAAGTATTGTCAAGTTTTGTTTACCACAGACCGCAAACTCAAAAAAAAAAAAAAAAAAAAAAGTTATAAATCCCCATTTCAAGGGAACCAGTGGTGAATTAGTTTTCTGGGTTTTGATGTCATCCCTGCACGTCTCTATTCATGCAGCAGCAGAAATAATCAACACCCCAACAGTGTGCATAGCAGATCTAGTCCACCAAAATCAAATGCATTGACAAAGCTGCTCATTTTTTATTTTGGTCTGTCCTCTCATGAAGGTGTGGATGAAGCCACCATTGTGGAGGTTCTAGCAAAGAGGAGCAATGCACAAAGACAACAGATCAAAGCAGCTTATCAGCAGAACACAGGGAAAGTAAGCATATTCACATCCTCCAACAACATTTGTCTTTGGCCTATTATATGGTACGTAAATGTGAGATTGGAGGAATGGATGAAGGAAAATGTAACGTTCTGAGGTTGTCCTTTCATAGATCTCAGTTATTTTTAATTGAAATATGAACTTTGATTCAGATCTCTAAGTATTTCTTAAGATGAATAGAAATAGACACAAAACACAACACATCAGCGACGTCATGTAAACTGTATTAAACACGATTTGTGTTCTGTGCCAGTTTTTTTATGATACATGATTGTACCAAACCAGTTGTTTAAAAGCTAATGGGCCAATTTAGACTAAATTGACAACATTTTACCAGCAGGTGGCACTTTCACCAAACTTTTATGGAACTCTTAGGTCTTTTTTTTTTCAGTGCATGAAAATATTTGTAAAATACAGCATTTTACAAATAGAAAATGTCTGACCTTGGAACACTGAGTATTGTATTCTGTATGACCCAAGGAATCTAAAGAGACCAGACTCTGTCAAATTATTAAAAGAAAGTTTTCAGGAAACTGTACAGTTTATGTTAGGCCAGGCATTTTCTATTCAATTTAAAAAAGTTTACAGCTCAACAAATATTTTTTTATTTTTTTTATTTAGAGTGGACATAAAAATACTTGTATATGGAAACGGCTTAGGATACAGTTTAACAGTCACAATATATTTTGAGTGCCTTGGTCTGAAGATCTTTTAGAATTAACCTTGGTCTAGACTGTAAAAAGAAAATTGTATTGTATTATGTAAATAACTTTTATATAAATATTTATATGCTTCAGCCTCTGGTAGATGCACTGAAAAAAGCTCTGAAGTCAGATTTTGAAGAGGTGGTCCTTGCTTTGCTGATGACACCGCCTGAGTATGATGCTTTTGAAATGAAAAGAGCCATGAAGGTACAATGTTGTATATTTTTTTCTTCAATAATTCTGTACTTAATTATTTCTAGCCCCCAAAAAATGTAAAATAAATGTAAAACTATTTTAAGATTTTGTCTCTTAATATTTCAAATTTTTTTTTTAAAAGCATTAATGTTAGTATTTTAATATTAAAGTTTAACTGATAATCAGGGTCTTGGGACAAATGAGGCTGTCTTAAGTGAAATTCTAGGAACCAGATCAAACAAGGAGATCACAGCATTGAAAAATACTTTCAAAGAAGGTAACAACACAGATCCAAATACATGTAAGTAGTTCATAAATGCAGATGTGCATGTAGCTGTTGACCTCTTTCTGTTGTACAGTCTATGGAGAGACGCTGGAGGAAGATGTTAAAAGTGAAATTAGAGGACATCTCGAAGCTACCCTGCTTGCTCTTTGCAAGGTACAAAAATAACACTATTTATTGTACGTTACACAATAAGAAAACTAAATCTGTTATGTGTGCTAAATGAATATCTCATGACTTCAGGCTACCAGGAGTGAAGACTATAAAATTGATGATGGACTTGCAAAGAGTGATGCAAAGGTAATGTGTCTGATTCCACTGCAACATTGTAACAACTCTGATCACAATAACTGATTTATTTATATAAGCCAATTTTTCTGGGTATAAATAATTTCCATGTAACCTGTTCTGAATTTGGATTGGTTGGTAGGCATCTGGAAGTATCCCTTCCATTGTTTCCATACACCAGTATAGTGTATTCTTCTGTTGGAGCTACAAGTCTATTAAGCACCATCAAACAACACAAAACAGTTATGAGTGATATTACTTTTATACCAGAAGTTAATATTGAAACTTAGATTTCAAAAAGTGCACTACAGAACATCCTGATACGGACATAGTCTACATCGACTGAATGGGATTACGCCAGGGAGCCAGTCATCTTCGAGTACTATTGAACGAGCCAATGGAATTTGGCGTGCGTGACTTGCATCACACACTCAGCCCCCGCGGCGCGGGTATAAATACAGAAGTGGATGCACGCACTAGTTCCTTTTTCGCTGAGGAGCCGAGCGTAACTCGGAGTCAGCGGTGGTCCAGAAGTAGTGGCAAGGGGACTACGTCCTCCGTTCCCTCCTCCAGGGATCGGTGGATTGCATACGCAACCAGGACATTCCCTTTCAGTTGAGAACGTTAGACGTAGTTGACGTCGACTGAATGGGATCAGCATTGAAAATGCCACTAGTGCTGCCACCTTCCAGTGCCTAGACAAAAGCCTCCTGATCCCTCCGCAACTTGAGGCGGAGATGGAAGGGCTTAGGCCAGGGAAGTCACTGCTGTTCCACGGGACCACTGGGAAAGCGTACCCTATCAAGGAAGGAAGGGACGCTGCGGAAGCCACATCCTGCCCGAAGGGAGGTAACATGTGGAGAGTACACATATGGACTGGGCGGATGACCGGGCAGTACAACATATGGAATGTCACTGGGATGACTCCAGCCTATAACAGGGGGAAGGATCAACCGAACAGTGACGGCAGAGCAGGTTCTGCCGAAGGAAGACACAGGCTCGCCGGAGGGAGCCGTAGCATGGAAGAATACACATATGGGATCGCCGAAGGGATCACAACATATGGACCCAGCCTAACACAGGTTCCACCAGTGCATACGAGTGATAGGCCTGGCTTCGGATGTTCTGCCACGTCCGTTGCCGAAGGGTTTGGAGGAACTCGACAGGGTTCGGCTAATAAGGGGAACTCTACTGGAGCAAGAATTGCGCACGTATCCAGTCCATAGGAGGGGAATGGCGCAGCAAGCCGACACTTCGAACCGGGCTTACAGTGAAACTGGCTTCATGTGGAGGGAGCCCTCGTGAAGCAGCGGTTCGACACATAGGCTAGTTCTCTAGCGAACGTGATAGGTGTCGCCCAGCCCCCAACTCTATTAACATCTGTTCAGCGAGACAGTCTGTGTCAACGCCTGGGAGGGAGCAATACTCTCACATTTAGGAGGAGCTCACCACCCAGGTGGGCACGTGCATCTTGGGAAACTTTCTCACCAAGATGAAGGCAACCACATGTAGTGGGCCAACCTCTTCTTTGAAACAGCCTTCCCTTCTGCTGGTCTCCGTAACAGACAAGAGCTGGTCTGAGGTCCAGGCTTTGCATTCTGAACACGTAAAACCGCAATGGAGCGGACGGACAGAGAAAATCCAGAGCTGGGTCTGCCTCCTCCGGGGCAGCGCTTGCAGGCTCACCAACTAGTCCCGTAGAAGAGGTAGGAACCTTGGGCATATATCCCGGCCGGGGTCTCAGATTCATGAGAGATAGCCGGCCCGAATTGCAGGCACGATTCGTTGACCGAAAATGTGTGCAAATCCCTACCCTCTAGATAGAGACCAAGCAAGCAGGAAAACTGTTTCTCTAAAAACAAGATTTTTAACTCACTGCCTGCAGGCCTGAAGGGAGGTCTCTGCAGTGAAGTAGCACCAGAGATAAGTCCTAAGAGGGTAAAGAGTCTCCTTGCTCCCCTCAGGAACTTAACGATCAAGTCGTGCTTCCCACGGATTTGTATCCACTGCATGTGCGTCAATACATAGGTAACAAGATTTTGAGGTGGAGGAGACAGCCCTCACTCCAACCCATTAGCAGGAAAGAAGCACTGAAGTGATCGAACACCTTCGGGATCTCCTCACGGAGAGAAGACTCAATTAAACTAATAGGTTACACTTCTAAGGGGGAGCCTGCCTCATTTTTGAGAGGGTGCTCACAGAAGTGATGGCCTCTACGGCATAAAAATCTTGTGGTAGTAACCAGAACCTCCGCGTCCCGTTCTTTTTAGAACCAGACCTGGAACTCTCCAAGGTTTAGACGCGGGTACCATCATGCCCCATCCCTGAGAATGTACTCAGAGGAAGGAGTCAGGAAGGGCTGTTGAGAGGAGAGGTCTGGTTGGGCCAATAAGGGGCAACTAGCAAGACCTGCTCCATCTCCTCCCTGCCTTAGCACAGTTGTGTGCAAGAAGACTCACTGGGGAACACATTTCTGCGGGGGCCCCGTGGTCAGCTGTGGCCAGAGTTTTTTCTGTGTCGAGGGATGTCCACTCAGACACAAGAAAAAAAAAACTGGCGGAGGGCTGAGTCCGGAGGGGCTACAGATGTAACTGTGCAGCCCCGAAGTGGTCCCGAACAGCTAGACTGCCTGTTGTGAGGCTCATCAGCGGCACGATTGAGCAGGCCAGAAGTAATAAGTGGAATGAAGCGACCTCAGAAGCTTCTGAGGAGGTGGTGGCGGGCGTACAAATTCGCTGAGTAGCGGTGTCTCAAAGTGAGATGAACTGCAAGCAACTCGAGGCAATGGATGCCATTGCAGTTGGAGGGCCGCCCAGACCTCCGTTACTGCATGCCCTTTGTACGTGGTCCCGTGGACGAGTTTACTCTTTCCCAGTTGACCTGAGGACCCAACTGGCTATGAGCACTTGAAGGGTAGGACTTTGTACTGATACTTCACACCTTTCGAACGCACGAACACAGGATGGCCTGTGGTGCAGAAGGATAGATATCTGAAGCACATGTCTCTCAGGTCGAATGCTGCAGACCAATCTTGGGGACGGAGCATTTGGAAATGCATCTCTGTGTAACAAATTGAATGGAGGCTATCGCAAAAGGGCCCGTCTCAATTAACACAGGACCAAGATGGTCGTGACCCACCGCACTAGGGTACAATGAAGTACGGGCTTGTAAAAGCTGGCCTTCATATCGGCTGGAGGGAGCGGCTGCATCGCGTCTTTAGTCAGAAGACTGCGACTGCTCAACGCCTGGAGCGGGCTGGGCTTCCCTACTGCGGCTGGCTCCATGCTGAGACCTGGCAGGGGAATGGCCTCGGTGACGAGCAGGCGGAGGAATTGCCACCGGCGGCGGGGTGGAGGCAGCAGCAGGCCACCGGGACAGGATGTGCCAGATGGCCTCCGTCTGCGCTTGGGCGGCAGAGAACTGTTGGGCGCAGTTCTCCGCCGCGTTGCCCACCAGCCCAACCTGGGAAATTGGGGAGACCAGGAACCGAACCTTGTCCACATCTGCCATATCAACCAGGCTGAACCAACGATGGCACTCCTGAACCACTAAGGTGGACATCGCCAGACCAATTGCGCATGCCACGACACCCGTGCCACGGAGGGCGAGGTTGGATGCAGTGCGGTGCTCACCTATGAGCGCACGGTCTGGGATACCCTCGTGCATGCCCATGAGTGCCTTGGCCTGATAGACCTGTAGCAGCGCCACGGCATGCAAAGAGGAGACGGCTTGGCCACAGGCTTTGTAAACTCTGCCTGTCGGAACGGACGAGTACTCACAGGCCTTAGGGGGGAGATGAGGATCCCCCATCCAAAAGGCATCGGCCGCCGGACACAGGTGCACCTGTGTTGCAACAGATCACTCCACTGGAAGGGATGGCCTCGCAACTCTTCACCGCTCCTACGTCAAAGGTAGTGAGGGGGAAAAGCTATTCAGACAGTTTCTGGCAGAGAAAGGTGCCATCCACAACCTAGGAAGCTCTCCATGCATTTGGAAATAAAGGCACTGAGCGGCGAGCTGAGAACAACCACGGCCCGCCCCGAGATACCAATCCTCCAACCGAGACTGAGCGGGACACGGTGGAAGATTCCACTCAAGCCCGGCAGCCTCGGCAGCCCGTTTCAGCATAGCTGACAGTTCTGGATCTGGCTCGGGCCACGTTACACTCCCAGAGGGAGATAACGTAGCCGAGTCGTCATCTCCAGAGGCCAGCTCACCCTCCGATGCTGCTATCAACATTCTATCCTCTGGGGGAACCCCAATTGAAACGGCTGATCGGTCCATTACAGAGGGAGCAGCACGTTCAACAGAAATTCCACCGGCTGCGGATTGATGGAGGAGTGAGGAGCCCACAGGGAGTTGTTAGAGGGCGAGACATCCATCACTATCCTCCCTTTCTGCCCTCTAACCAGCCGTCAACAAACATTTAGAAATTTGTTGCTGTGAAAACAGCAGTTGAGAGCTCAAAGCTCGAGATCACCGCTGCACTCGCGCTGTAGAAACCACCAGCACTGGGAGAGTCTTCCAGAAGAACACTGACACACTCGCTCGTTGTAAACAACAGCACTCTTCAGAGACATCAAACGATTGGCTCCGAAGCAAAAGGCAACTAGTGTGTGCATCCACTTCCGTATTTATACCCGCGCCCGGGGGGTGGAGTGTGTGGTGCAAGTCATGCACGCCACATTCCATTAGCTCGTTCAATAGTACTCGAAGATGACTGGCTCCCTGGCGTCATCCCATTCAGTCGACGTTGACTACTTCTGACTTTCACGACTGATAGGGAACTTTGGCCACTCTACTGCCATCTGTGATTAAAACATAAATTTGCAAGTTACAGGTACTAGCAAATGTGTTGCTTTCACATCAGATGTGCTTCGGCAATTGTATTCTGTATGATTGAAACATTGTGGCATATTGCACTGTCTCCTTATAATCAATCCTAAATTTTACACAGTGCACAATATGTACAATATGGGCTATGTTTTAACTGATATGTTTAGCTTCATATCAAAAGTTGTGTTATGATTCATTTTGAAGCTGGTTGGTTCAGTTTAAGGCTGTGAACTCTTTTTTATGGCTGTGAAGGTTGTGAAATTGTTTCATTGCCAATTGAGATTAATGTGAAAAAGCATCTGGAACTACTTACAAAGTAGTAGATTATTGGTTTATTTAGATTTATTCATAAACACGTATTTCTATCCAAATCATCTCTGGATAACAAAAGCAATGTATACAGAGACGACAACTATTTTAGCAGTGCTACAATACTGAATTTCAATAGTAAACCAGAATAGCTATTTTAGCCTTAATTAAGCCTTAAGTAGAGTTAATGGATAAGTAAGGGAAGTGCCTTTGGACAAGAAGGTGTGTAAACTACTTAAGTAATTTTACTTTATTACTGTATTTAAGTATTATTTTGAGGTATTTGTACTTTACTCAACTGAATACTTGAACTTTTAATTAATTATATTTCCAGAGGAATAAAAAGTACTTTTTACTCCTTACAATTTTATTTTGCTTGAAAAGTATTCGTTTTATTTTTGAAGATTATTTTCTTCCATCTTATGCACATCAAATTTGGTAAACGGAGGCTCATACATGCATGCTTGACACCAGTGATGGAGTTAGAGAGATGTCAGGTGGCCATGGGCCTGGCCACCCCGAGATTGGGCCAGACCCAAAAATTGTATTCACTACAGGCAGTTTCATTCTTCATGGAACCATTAATGCCAATAAAAAAATGTTGTTGAGATTTGGGCAGTGAGGTTTTACTGATTTAATTGTTTCATATGTGACCATTCAGCTCTTAGCTGACTCACTGTACGTTCACACCGCCGCCGACTTGAGCTTCCAAAGCGGCCGGAAGTCATTCATTTTCAATGGAAGCTGGCTTTTCTCAGCTGCAAGGAGTGTCAAATCCATCGGCGTCGCGTTTTGGGCGTTTTGAGCGTCAATCAGAAAGTTGAAAGAAGCTCAACTTTATGGTATTGAGCTGTGAAGCGGTTCAGCGGCAAGCAGCGGCAAAATGCCAGCGACCAATCGGAATATAGACGTCCTTCGCGCTGGCTGATTCCGGAGAAACATACAATGTAAACGTTCGTTCCTACCAAAACATTAGTTCCGAGAAAATGGAAGAGAAGCTAATAATCGCCGTTGCTGGGTTTCCTACAGGTATCATTTATGACATGACGTTGTTTGCTTATAGGGACCGCATGAGCGCAACTTTTCTTTGAAATATTAGCTCGTTTTATAGCGGGAATGCAATTCATTTGCTCACGGTGACACCGATTTGACCGCAAATAATAATAATAATAGCTAAATATTCTTTTTTCCCCGACCAAATGTGACCAAAACGGTTATAAAAATGCTGTCATTATAAAAGGTTTCTTCAATGTATTGCTTGTTTTTTTCTGTTTATTACATTTCCTGTTGTGACACTTCTATTCTCCCTGCAACGTCAGAGCGTTCAAAGCGTCCAAAGCGTCAACAAGCTTCCGCGTACTTTTTGACAAGCGTCCTTGACAGGGCGGCCAAAGCTTCTTTGACGCTCAAGTCGGCGGCGGTGTGAACGTACAGTCAGCTGTCATTACCATTGTTGAACCCTGCTGTATAGCTATGTTGTGATCAACTGATAGATTACAGTTGAGAGAGTTCTCTCTTTGCGAGGTTAAGTTAAAGGTACAGATGTCTGAGTGGAAGGTGAGATGCAAGCTGAACAGCACTGCTACATGTTGTCAGGCATGGACAACATGTACTATAGCAGTGATAGCTGTGTGCCTTCATATTTGAGCTCAGTGAAGTTTTACATATTGAGAAGAGGAGGGGGCCAAACACTGAAACCTGAGGCACCCCAGTGGTTTGCTAATGGAAGCCTTGATGGATTTGTCTCTGAGCTAATTCTGAAGACAGCAAAATCGAGATCATGTGATGGACTACAACATGTCAAGCTCTTTGCTGAAGTTGCTCAGTTGACATGGTCTATGTTGCCTTGTTGATTTTCTTGTTCAGTGGACAGGAAAACACAAGTTGTTCACACAAGCAGGCTTTACAACAAGGTTTACAAATACTGTAAAATAGGACGTAGATTTATGCATTATAGGTTGTAATAACCCGAAAGTGTGTAAGGTCATGTAAGTGCCAGTATATTGGTGTGCATGTAAACACACTCACTGTCTCTGACTTCATTGTTTTCTCAGGCTCTGTTTGAGGCAGGAGAGAATCGGGTTGGTACTGTTTGCTCTGTCCTGATTGATGTCCTTACATCCAGGAGTGAATCTCAGCTGTGCAAAAGTAAGTTGAAGACCACTTATGAAAGAATATAGATGTTGCATTTATGATAGTTGACTATTTTTTAGGCACTATTAGTGTTATTTAAAATGTTTTTGCAGTTTTCCAGTATTATGGCCAATACAGCAAGAAGGGTTTAGCCAAAGTTCTGGAGAGTGAGCTGCATGGAAACCTTGAAGAATGTCTGATGACGCTGGGTAAGGAAACAAGTGCTCATTTAAGGTGTGTATTTATGTGGGGGTGTGCAAGAGATTCTAGACATGTTAAATGCTTCAGTGGTCGAAAGACTAATCAAAGCAGAGCAACTTTTTAGGAAGCTTGTTTTTCCAGCTCTGCATGTTGAGAGGGTGGATCCAGACAGTATACAAACAAAAAAGATTACACAAAACTTTATCACACAAAGATAGGTACAAAGATACAATAGAAACTAAATCAAGCAGTACAAAGTCACATCTTCGGTTTGTGCACATAACAACCTCACAATTTTCTTATTTTTCATGTTTAGTGAAGTCTGCTTGGAACAAACCTGCCTTGTTTGCAGAAAAGCTCCAACTGGCTATGAAGGTAAAGTTGCAAAGGAATGTATGGAACGTATTCCAGCACGTCCATGTAGTTACTAGCACTGCATGGTAGTGCTGCACATGGTTTTGATATACTCAACCAATTATTTATTTAGGTATTTTCACATGAATTTAAAGGGGGCATAAAATGCATTTCAGATCTTTATATTATTCAGAGGTGTAAAGTCCAGGGGTCAGAAAGTAAAAGTCCTGCCATATGTTTATTCCATCCATGAACTCCGCCAGCTGATTTCACTAATTAGTTCTATCTCCTGGCTGAGAAACTGTGCTAATTAGCAAATCCAGGTGATTGGAACAAAATACTGAGGACTTTTGTTGTCTGAACCTGGACTTAATCATATTTTAAACTGGGAAGTTAGCTTTGAGGTATAAAAAGTATTTATTGTAGAGTAACACTTTATGTGTAAATATTAAGGACATTTTGATTTTCCATTTCATAACCCTTTAACTAATTTTGGACTTCTAGGGTTTAGGAACCAACACTGACACACTGACTAGAATCATTGTGAGCCGTTCAGAAATTGACCTGCTAAAAATCATTCAAGAATACAAGAGGATGTATGGCAAAACCCTTCAGGAGGACATTCTGGTAAGTCTTCATAATTTTAAAAAGCTCTAACCAACTAACTTAAAGTCAACTTGAAATAAAAAAATAAGCCCAGCATTTTTCTTAATCACATCTGTTCTGGAATGAAACTTTTCACAATCTATTCCAAATTAATTCAATCAACTTAAATCAAATTATTTTTTTCATTGTATATTGCTGCCTGTTTCATCATGCTGTCCCATTAAATACAATAGCTGTCCAATTTAAATATTTAAATCCTTTTTCTGGCTTTACAGAAGGAAACAAGTGGAGATTATGAGAAGATTCTGCTGACTCTCTGTGGAACTCAATAATCATCTCATACATGTCTGGATTATGTGAACATTCATTACATGGTCCATTTTAGCACCAGTTAATCTCCCAATAGTTGGCTCATGAAAAGTGTTTTAAATTTAAATATGGAATAAATGTCAATTGTGCACACTGTAAATGTTTGTGTGAATTTACAATATAATATTCCTAGATACAATTTGGCATATTTTCTCACTAGTAATCAACAGTTTATCACAATTAAATGCCTTGCCTCGCCTTGCCTAATTAATCATTTTGTAAATCCTGGCAATATTTTACACTGGGATGAACATATTGGTTTCTTTATGTTACCATGTGAGAACTCAGGGCTGGAGCACTTGCTTGACCTGATCTGTGTGTCTATTGTCTTAATTAAAGAGACAAATTTCCATAAGTTGTTACAATAAACTAGCAACATCTAGTGAACAATATAATTTCCTATGTGTTTTAGATTAGGTTTAGGGATGGGCAAACTCTGTCCTGGAGGGCCAGTGTCCTGCAGAGTTTAGCTTCAACCCTAATCAAACACACCTGAACCAGCTAATCAATGTCTTCAGGATTACTAGCAGATGAGTTTTATCAGGGGATGGAGACAAACTCTGCAGGACAGTGGCCCTCCAGGACCGAGTTTGCCCATCCCTGGTTAAGACTACAACTGGTAAAGTACAGCAAACACATTAAATGATAGATTATCACAAGTCTTACAGACAGGTACAACCAGAACAACCTGGTCTAACACCACCTCTACCCAGCCCAAAGTTTTTCGGTGGGTGTGTACAAGGAATAAAAAGACGAGTTCTGTTCCCAAAATTACCCATTTCAGATCAGCTCTCACAGACTTCACAGAGCAACAAGTGAGTTGTCTTTGTAAATTAATTTAACTGCATGTCCTCTACTAGAGATTGTCATTATTAATGTGCAACATGCAATTGATGACTGGTGTAATTGATATGAGAATCTAGATTTGCATATCTGGGGAATGTTTGCAATGTCTGGTCATAAACTCATCCTTATGCATTTGCTTAGTTCTTTATAGCTTCTTCAAAGCTCTCAAGATGGCCTTTTTCCAGAAATTATTCCAACAAGTTAATGATGACAAGGTAAGTAAAAGCATTTTCCTTCATTATGGTCAGTCAAAAGGATAAATGTTTAGGTTGGTCTGCTGTAGGTGATGACTAACATACAGTAGATCCGCCTCAAAAATAACCTATCATTACTAATTTGTACTTGCATGTTGCTACATGTTTTATCTTAGGGTTTTAAAGCTGCTCCTGCTGTTGAGACAGGATACTTTGGAACAGTCCGGGCTGATCCAAACTTTAATGCCCAGAATGATGTTGCAAAATTAAAGAAAGCTATTGAGACCAAAGGTAAAATAGAGATATCCTGCTAAATACATGCAAAATGCAAATTCAACATGCTCTCATGTTCCTGATACAGGTATTGAGAATAATCAAGTAAAATTCAAATGAATGAGACTCTACATATTTTTTGCTTTGTTGCATGAATGGAGGACACCCCCCACTAATTATGTCATACCAGGAAGAATGCTAATATACTTTTACCCAATATACAGCTCTCTTGGGACTTGTATTATTATGCGTCCAGCTTTATTGACCTTATGTATCTGCGATTTATACACCTGGTATCAAGTTATATTATATATACCATTATAACAAGATCCACCAGTACTCTGTAGTATGATCATAAACAGGTTCTAATGTGATAAACTGATGTGATTTTGACCTTTTTTCCTCTCATGAAGGTGTGGATGAAGCCACCATTGTGGAGGTTATAGCAAAGAGGAGCAATGCACAAAGACAACAGATCAAAGAAGCTTATCAGCAGAGCACAGGAAAAGTAAGCATATTCACATCCTTCAACATCTTTTGGCTAGATAAAAATACAACTAAACTAAATGAGACTAAATTAATTCAATATTCAGCATTCATTGAATCCAGTTACTTATTTATGGTTTCCATTTGGTTGAGGTTTTTTTTTTTTTTTTACTGTACCAATCTTCTTCGTCAACCCTTGAACTTGACATGAAACAATACAGATGAATGAGCCAAGTAATTTATCTATATGTCCCAGTCAAATCCATGCTAGAGGAACACGGATCATTTGTTGTTTTATACAATTGTTTTGTGCTTATAGCTTTTGTTTTATCATTAATCCTCAGCCTCTGGTAGATGCACTGAAAAAAGCTCTGAAGTCAGATTTTGAGGAGGTGGTCCTTGCTTTGCTGATGACACCGCCTGAGTATGATGCTTTTGAAATGAAAAGAGCCATGAAGGTACAACTTACTAGTCTTATGTAGATTTTATTCAAAGACTTAATGTACTATATATTAATACTTAAATCTAAATACTAAAAATGTATTGATAATCAGGGTCTTGGGACAAATGAGGCTGTCTTAAATGAAATTCTGGGGACCAGATCAAACAAGGAGATCACTGCATTGAAGAATAAATTCAAAGAAGGTAACAAGAAAAATAAAAACATGTTTTTCCTAAAGCAGATGTATGTTTATGCTGCTAACCTCTTTCTGTTGTATAGTCTATGGAGAGATGCTGGAGGAAGATATTAAATGTGAAGTTAAAGGCCATCTTGAGACTACCCTAGTTGCCCTTTGCAAGGTACAAAACATAGTTCAGTGTAATTGTTGTAACGGCATAAGAAAATAAAAAGCGTTATGTGTATTAATAATGATATATTACTATATCAATATCTTATAACTTCAGGCTACCAGAAGTGAAGACCGTAACATTGATGATGGAGTGGCTAAGAGTGATGCAAAGGTAAATATTCTTTACTTGTACTATGGCCAGTGAAGGATGTAAGATACATAGTCAGCTGATATATAGTCAATATTTTTACATTCGCCATAATTAATCATACCAAAGTTGCGAGATGGTCCCACTTAAAGTAGCTTTTCTAAATTGTGTTGGTATGAAAAACAAGAGAGCGCAAATACAGTTATACAGTTATCCATTATACAGTTTTGAAGTCATAAAAATATCTGACAAATGCTAGACCAAGCAGACAGCCATGCAATAAGCATAATAAATTGAAACGGTGTAGGTACTGTCTCTGACTTTGATATGCTGTTGTTTTAGGCTCTGTTTGAGGCAGGAGAGAATAGAATTGGCACTGTTTGCTCTGTTCTGATTGACATCCTCACAAACAGGAGTGAAGCTCAGTTGTGCAAAAGTAAGTCAAGCACTCTTCTTCAGAGATAGTTGACTTTTAATATATGCCATTCTGGTGTACTCCAGCCCATGTTTTCTGAGGCACTAACGGTGTTATTTAAAATTGACAGTTTTACAATATTATGGGCAGTTGAGCAAAGACGGTTTGGCCAAAGATTTGGAGGGTGAGCTGCATGGAAGTTTTGAAGACTGCCTGATGACCTTGGGTAAATCTACAGTACAAGCCTTCATTTTAATCTGTGTATATATCTGTGGGTGCGGTGAAAGAGTAGTTTCTCTTTAAATTATGTTACATGCTTCAGTGGCCATCTGTATGAAAGCAGCGCCATAAAAACCTGTTCTAAAGCAAGTTTTTTTCCCCAGCTTTGTGTGTTAAGGGCGGTTTCATTCTCACACTCAAAAACATCGCAACCAGATTAGATACAATTATCCAAGAGTAACTAAATTGAAAAAGGTTCTTGCAAAAGCTGTTCTCACTGTCTTTTTTTCATGTTATAGTGAAGTCTGCTTGGAACAAACCTGCCTACTTCGCAGAAAGGCTTCAACTGGCTATGAAGGTAAAGCTGCTGAGGAATTCATGGAACTTAAATTTAATTCTGTTTCTTTCAGAATCTGTTTATTATCTGGTCCAAGGACCAAAGGTGCTGGAACCCTTTTGTATTTCTGGAGATTTTCAAATGAGTCTCTTTCTGGTCTGAAGTGTGTCCATCAAGGCGTCGGACTCTTGGTGGAAAAAATTTGTTTGTCTAACTCTAAATATCACTATGATAAGCAAATTTACGCTTTCACGAATTGGTCAGAGCAAGTTTAAAATTAGAATCATTTTTTTAATTCTAAGATACTATTATTAACAAATGGACAGACCAACAAAAATGGCTGCCAATGAGCAAGGATTCTACAATAGGCTGTAGGCTAAATTTTGTGAGAATTGACAATAAGGGGGGCAGTACATTTACGTTTGCTTATATTTCCGGAGCTGTATGGACTAGAGACTAATTTCAAACCAAACTAAACCCTGAATCCCATGGCTTTACATTTTTCCAATAAGTAAAATAAAATCTGCCGTTTTATTGCTACCTTATGAATAATTGACAAATGTATCTCTAATATGGTCTTGCTTTATAGGGACTGGGAACCACCACTGACACACTAACTAGAATTATTGTGAGCCGTTCAGAAACTGACCTGCTGAAAATCCTTCAAGAATACAAGAGGATGTATGGCAAAACCCTTCAGGAGGATGTTCTGGTGAGTCTCTGTAATTCATAATGGGTGATCTGAAAAACTTCTGAATTAAATTTCACGTTCTTAGATCCATCATATTTAAAACTAGCATGTCTGAATGAAAAGTGGCTTCTGTGTTTGGCTTTTACAGAAGGAAACAAGTGGAGATTATGAAAAGATCCTGCTGGCGCTCTGTGGCACTCAATAAATACATCTGATAGCTCATTACATGGGTGTATTCATGACCCATGTAAACACTTAATCTCTCAGGTGTGGCTCTTCAGGAGTGTTTCATTAAAACTCTTTTTGCAATTCACTGTGTAATAGATTTCTTTGACCAATACATTCAAAAAGCCTGTGGTTTAAATGTTTCAGGACACTTTATAGTAACTTTGATGATTAGCTAAGAAAAAAAATGACTCTATAATGTACCCACATCATTAAATGATTCTTAAAGTAGTTCATGTACCTTCAAATATGATTTTCAATGTTTTGACATTTAACTGTTACATTTGGTTCTGGATTTTGGTGTACCTGTGTTTCATGTCTTTCATTTTGAAATTAGCAGTCATGTTTCTTGTCATGTGACTTCCTTGTCCTCATGTGATCATGTCTTGTGCTTCTCTTGTCTTATGTGTCATGTTATGATTGGTTGATCATCTTTACTGTTCATAGGTGTTTTTATATAAGACTAAGGCCATGTCCACACGGACACGGGTATTTTTATAACCGGAGTTTTTCCTACAGCGTTTAAAAAAAAA